CTCTCCCTCTCCCTCTCCCTCTCCCTCTCCCTCTTCCTCTTCCTCTTTATTTTTTTTGAACAAAGCCAGCCATTGCTTTTCTCACAATAGCCACCACAGGACTGTTGTGAATAGTTACACAGGGCCCAGTGTCTGCACCATTTCAGGGAACAGCAAGTTGGGTGCTACGTGCTGGACTGAGAATCTGTCAGCAGCACCTCACCTCTTGGCACTCTTCTGAAGGGTTGGCCTCCTTCACACCCTGCACCCACACCTGTGCCACCCCTAGGCTGGCATGCTCACCAGCTGGTGCTTGGCGGCTTCTCGGATCCATCGGATATTGTCCATATACTGCAGTTTCACGGATGCCTTCACTGTAGGGAGAGAAGGGAATGGTGTCACAGGACTGGGAGTCATTGCCAGGTAGCCCCCACCCTTCTGCAAGCTGTTTACCATGGGCACCTGCTGTGACAACCTCCGTGGAGCCAGCACCCAGGGCCAGGGAGCCCACCCATAACCCCCCCCCCCACCTTCCCCACTCTGGGAACTTGCAGTGCTGTGACCACACGAGTGGATGTGTGGGACTGTGCAACCCACTCTTGGCGTTGTGTCCATCCCTTCAGCTATAGCTAATCAGGGCTTCTGTATAACACCACCTTTCTCAGCACCAGAAACAACAGCTGGGGCTGGCTGTGAGACAATAAGAGAGTGTGATGCAGTAATCACGAGGGTAGTGGGTTAGAGGAACCAAAGATTCCCCCAAGAGGGTGACAGGCTGAGTCTTGCATGCTGAGAAGTAGTTGGCTACACAAGGCCTGGCAAGAACACAGCCCTGGCAGAAGGAAATGTCAATGCCAAAGCTGAGAGATGGGAATGAACTTGACCTATCCTGGGAGGGTAAGCGGAAGGAGTGTTGGCCACAGTGCATGGGATCCAGCTCATGTCCGCTCATGACAGCAGAATGAATAATTTTTTGGAAGTAATGTGAGTCAGTAGTTGACACAGATGTCATTAAAAATCTTACTTAAATGAAATTATATTGAATATTTATGTCAAAAGTGAAGGAATACTGGCTGGGACATGCTTTTAATTCCAGCAGTCTGGGAGGTTGAGGTAGAAAAGTTGCAAGTTCAAACCAAATCTTGGCAATTTAGCAACTTATCAAGATCCTGTCACAAAATGAATTTTTTTTTTTTTTTCCAGAACCGGGGATCGAACTCAGGCCCTTGCACTTGCCAGGGAAGTGCTTATTCCACTGAGCCAATGAAACATGAAATATTTTTTAAAAGCACTGGGGATGTAGCTTAGTGCAAAGGCCTTAGGTTCAATCCCTAGTACTAAGGAATAAAGGCAGTACTCACAACTGCATGTTACCTTATTGCTTTTTACTGTGATCTATGCTCTCAAGGTTATCTGTGTCTATCAACTCTGCCTTGTGAAGATGCCACAGAGCCAGATCACAGTCCCAGCATGAACTCAGCTGTACTGAGAGTATTTACACCACGATCATTAGCAGACACAACAACTTAGGTCTTCTTTACAGAGTGCTGGCTGTTAAATACTCAGGAGTTTACCTGCCCAGGGCTGGGCAGCTGTTTGAAGTCAGGGAGGCCTGGGGAGGCATAGGTCCAGATTTCCCTATGTTTGGGGCTAGAGGAGGCTCTAGCTGGGGCCAGGGGATGGCTCAGTAGAATAAATGCTTGCCTGGTAAATGCAAAGGCCTGAGTTTAATCCCTGGTTCCACCACAAAAAAAAAAAAAAGAGAAGGCTTTAGCTTCTGCTGTGACCACATCACCAGAACCAATACTCAGGGCCAGGGAGCCAATAGTCATCCAGGTTAAAGAGGCAGGCCCAGTTCTATATTCTAAGACAAATTAGGTAGATGCTGACTTAAAGAACATGTGAATGGACCAGGCAGGTTGGATGGGTCCCAAGGTACCCATGTTCATGAAAGACAGCTGATATGAATCAGCAGTGTTATTGACAGAAATCCAAGGTCAGTGCTCAAGGGCTCTCAGGGGCCAGGTGACGTGCAGCAGAGAAGGTGGGTCAGAGCGGGACTGTGGCAAGCCCCTGCCATGACTATTAGGTCATCTGGGCCTGAAGTTCCCTTCTGTTTTAGCCAATTTGAGTGGCTGCTATAGTTTAGATATGATATTTCCTCCAAAGCCCCCATATTGTGGCTTGGTTGCCAGCCTATAGTGCTATTGTCTGATGATAGAAGCTTTAGAGTATTAATTGGGGGTAGTCAGGTTTCTGGGAGTATACCATTGAAGGAAATATTGGGACTCTGGCTCCTTTCTGTCTTTATTTTCTTTTTAGCTGTTCTGCCACGTGCTTTCCCATGATGTGAGGCCTCACCATACACCCAAGGACAGTGGAGCCAGCTGACTATGGACTGAAACCTTTTAAACCGTGAGCTAAAATAAACCTTTTCTTCTGTTCAATTGATGTTTTCAGGTATCTTGTGAGGGGAAGCTGATTAACACAGTGGCCTTCTGTCATTTGAAATCAGAAGGTACATGTGAGAACATCTCTAGAGGATGATGGAGCATGTGGGGTCTGTGCTTTCAGGGCTCAGAACAATATGTGGGGCCAGGATCCTCCTTGCCAGGCACCCTTCAGAGGAAGGGGCTTTGGAAGACTAGCCCTCATGAGCATTCTTCTCCCAACAGTGTCACCTCCATCAACAATGGCCTTCTCCAGCACAGATGTGGCCAGCTTGTCTGTAACAGCCAGGTCCTGGGGGTCTCTTGATGTGCATACCCAGCGGAAAGGTCCAAATCCCTGGGAGAATATGTCCCTGCAGAGACAAGACCTCCTCACCTAGGGCTTCTGGGCAGGTGGTACCTTCTGCAGGTGCCCAGGGAAGAGGGGACACATATCCAGATGAGGCTCGACCTTTCAGGTCTCCAGTTCAACAGCAGTATCAGAGGGTCACCCTTACTGTCTGTCCCCACCTGTCTCCTACCACTGTCCCTTTCCCAGGCCTCTCCCACCCTCCCACACAGTCACTCCTGGCCCTGACTGCTGGCCTTCTTGGGCCTCCCTGTGGCTCTGCAGAAATTCTCTATACTTTTAGTTCCTCTTTGTCAGCATTTTATGGTGGGAATTCTGTCACCTTGTACCTGGCCACTGTGCAATCTTGTAAAGGTCTTATGCATGACCTCAGTGGTGGTCATAGTTGGAGGCTATTCAGACCTGAGTGCCAGGTCTCAGATTCTGAAAGGGGGTAGAAATAGCACTGGTACCCCAAACCTACCAGAACCCTCCATCACTTACCCCATAATGTGCTGGACATATGAGGGGTAGCGGAATTCTGTCTTGTTAGCACCCTTCTTTGCCACATCTGCTCCTGTGGACAGAATTGCCAGCCCAGGGGTAGGAGCCACAGAACCACCTCAGATGGTGATCTAAACAAATAACCCACTAGAAGAAGGGTTTTTTTTTTTTTTTTAAGTAAAAGAGGAGGAGCAAAATCTGAGTGCAACCTTGTTGAAACTGAAAAACTGAGAAACTGAGAAACTGAGACCCTCAGGTTCCCAGCTACCCAGCAAGGCCAGATTGCAGAGGAAAGACCTGGGTAGAAGCACAGTGAAGCCTCTCCTGGGCACATGCTGGGAGATCTCTGGTGGTGTGGATATGGAGCAGTAGGGAATGGAGCTTCCCAGCCGCCCTTCTCCCACCTACCTGCTCTGTGTGCCTCCAAAAGGAAAGCATTGCCGTAGTCCCAAAAGAAGAACCTTTCTTTGGCCAGCCTGTTGATGGCTGATATCTGCCTCCTTAGGCTGCAACAAGTAGGCCAGTCAACTCTACCCACTGGTACCCCAGTGAAGACTCCAAGCCCACCCCATCAAGCTGTGATCACACCTCCATCCTATCATCTGTTTAAGCCCTCTGTACCCTTCAAGACCCAACTGGCAGCCCCTACAGACAAGAATTTACTGCACATCAACCCATTTGGGCCTTGGAGGAAAAAGATGCAAACAGATGATTTAAGCCAACAGTTATGCTGAAGATTTTTGCAAATATTCCCAGTGTTCCCAGGAGGAAAACATATACATGACTGACTGACAGGAGGCAGAGGCTTGGACAGGTTAAGGTTTTGCCCAGTGTCACACAGCTGGTCCCTTGAGAAGCAGGTTTCAGCCAGAGTTGGGTAAGGTCTGCTGCCCAGACCAGAAGGTCCTGCTGTCACCACCCAGAGCAGCCCTGGGCCTGTCCTTACCTTTCTTGCACTAGGTCTTTGAAAGCAGGTGGGTTGGAAGCCATGAGATGCTGGGCCTCAACAAAACTGAGCTGCACAGGGTAGTATCCACCATTAAATGGGTTATGGCAGGAAGTCTGGTCTGACCCGAGATCTACCAATAGCTCTCCTGTGGTATCCAATTCATAGACGAGGCGCTCCCTGGGGAAGGAGGGCATGCAAGGTATGAGATCTGGGCTGAGGCAGGTCAGGTGGGGATTGCAGTCCATTTTTCACCCACACCCTGGAAAGGGCACTGATGGAAAGGCTGTCCTGGGCATAAGCAGGCATGGGGTCATACAAGGTGGGACAGGGCTGAGGTTTGAAGTTTGTGCCCTGAAAGTGTTTGATCAGGATCAGGAGCTTTGCTGGGAGGGCCTCACCTGGCACCCCAACATTACCAACTCCCAGCCTCTACTTACCAAAGATCCACTACATTCCCATGGTAACCAAGACTGAGCACCTCTTTCTTTTTCCTTGCTTCTCTAGAAGAACACAAAAGCAGATGACCTCTGACTTGCTGCGTGGTATGGGGCCCACCTATGACCAATTATCAGGGACTGAGGAGCCTCATGCAAAGCAACCCTGTGCTCGTCGCAGTGCTTGGGCATCAGCAGCTGTACCTGAGTCTTTCAATGCAGTGGTCCAAGCTGTCAGTCACTTCCATCAGCCAGCCTTGCTGGTGGCGTTTTGCAAGAGCTGCTTTATCAACCTCGGGTCATGAGACACAGGGTTACCTGTTACAAAGTGCCTGAAGTATATCATGCCCACTATTTAGGAGCTGTCTTCCACATAGGCACCCCACTTTTACAATACAGTCTTGGGGCAGGCACTATGAACTTCCTTACCCTACTTATTTCTTTTCTTATCTCTTTTGCTATCAGATACCAGATTGCACTCAGATGACACTGTTCAGCCCCAGCAGATGAACTACACTCAAATACAGCAACTGGTGTACTGTTCATGTTCTTATTCACAGATAAGAATATGCATCTGATTCAAGACTGACAAGTAAGATAAAGGGGTTTCAGAGATGATTTTCCTGCTAAAATAGTCACTCATGGCTGATATTTCCCTTCTTACTTCTTCCTGTCTTGTATGTTAATGGAATGGCTGAGGCTTGGTCAGAAATTTTGTATTCATGAAGGAGATGTTGAATCTGACATCAATGAGCTGCTGGGCCAATGCTGGTACTTTTAGTTACACAAGAAAAATGATATCCTCATGAAGTAAGTCAAAATCCTAGTTAAGTAAGCCGCTATACACATACTTTCTATTACTTGCAGCCCAACTCAGTCCTAACAAGTACAGGTATGTATGATACAGATTTAATGTCAAATAAGTACAAATCATACTGATTTATATCTTCAAGGCTTATCTCAAAGCTCCTCAGTTCTGCAGTATTCTGTTTTCCTTCTTATCCTTGGTACCCACCAAAGAGAGCTATGAGAGCCACAGAAGTTACGGGACCACCACCCATGAACCCCTCTACTGAGGGATGACTTGCCTCTTCTACCTGAATCTGTGCTGTTCAAGTTGGGGGGGGTCTACATTCCAGTTGGGGGATTTTACATTCATAAACATTTATTCACTCCCATCTAGAGTGCAGGAGTTTGATGGGATATAGGGGAACATCCATAAGTGGACACTCTCCGTTGGATGGGAGGGTAATCAGCAGGCATTGGCCTTGGATGGGCACTTCGAAAACAGGAAGCATTTAGACAGGGGCTTCTGGAGGGTGTGAGAGACAGCTGGGTAAAAGAAGATGAGAAGAGAGCTATAGGTGTGAGCAGGTCTGGAGGGAAGGAAAGAAGGAAGGAAGGAAGGAAGAAAAGAGGGAAGGAAGAAAAGAAAGAAGGAAGGAAGAAAAGAGGAAAGGAAGGGAGGACAGAAGGGAGAGAGAGGGAAAGGGACAAAGACAGAAATCTCCTGCCACTCACCTCTGCTATCACACCAATGCACCCCACGATGACTGCAGCCTTGGCCTGAGCTCCACTCATCCCGCCAAGTCCAGAGGTGACAAAGACCTTCCCAGCCAAGTCCTCAATGCCCAGGTACCGACGTGCAGCATTCAGCACAGTGAGCTGCAGGTAGGGGAGGCAGGGCACTCACTGCCCTCTCCTACCACATCCCCCACCCAGGCATCACCCTCTCAGCCAGGTGTGACCAGTCTCTCACCACTGTACCATGGACAATTCCCTGAGGACCAATGTAGCAGTAGCTGCCTGCTGTCATCTGTCCGTACCTGACCACCGAAAGAGAGAGCAAGCCAAGCAGGAAGCTGAGCCAGATTCCAGGCATAGCTTCTCCCAATCTCCGCTTTAGGAACTTGAAAATAAAATTTTAAATACCCTCAAAGGTATTTGTATGTGCTGCCCACTTTTTTTTTTACAAAAAGGAGAAAATATAACAGGCTACTGCCCTCCAGTTTTGATGCTTCCCTACATATGAGACTTTTTACAAACATATTTTATTTTCCTAAAAATTGACATGTAATTAGTTATGAAAATGCTATATACCCATGCTACATACTAATGCCCATGTAAAGACATGTGCATGAATATTCACAGCAATTGTCAGTGGCCAAAATCTGAAGCATCTGAAATGTTCATCCATAGGAGAAAAGAGAAACAAATTACAGCATATAAACATGACAAACTACTGTATGACAGAGAAAAAGAGCGGAGGCCCTGTTAAATGTGATGTGACCCAATAAAGGAGCCAGACAGGAGAGAGCATATCCTACAGGATTCCATTCAGGTGACACTCAGTAAACTTCTGAGGAATCTTCCTACTGGAAGGGAACATGGGAGATGTGGTGGGTCCGGACCTCATCAATTGGTTGTGGCATGGGTGCACACGTTTTTCAGAATTCTTTAAGCCTTGTGCACACTTTGCTGCTTGTTGCATTTCAGTGGGTGACGCTTAGTGTACTGTTTTGCTTGAGAGGTTTTTGGTATTCCGAAAATTTCCCTAAATGGCCTCATTCTGTAAATTTTGTTTCTGCAGCTTGTTTTACACCCAGTCCCCCACCCGTTGGGTTCTTTCCACAGCAGCACATAGAGACCCCCACTCATTTCTTTTCATGGCTTTACAGCATAGAACATGCAAGCCCACCAAATGTTCTTTACTCCTTGTTCTGGTAATCAGGACAACTTTGATTTTGCTGTAAGAACATTGCAGTATAACTTTTGCTTGCTTCCCTGAACCTGTATGTCAGTCATGTCCTTCAGGGTATTAATCAAGGAGGGGGGCCACTGGGTTTGTCAAGTACATTTTAAATATGATTACAAACTAAATTCCTAAGTGACTGTCACCAAGGCATAAGAATGGCTGTTTCCATCACTTGATAATTATCAAACATTTTACTTTTTAACAATGTGGGAAGAGATGGCATTTGCTGATGACTGAAGACCAAGATGCTCTTGGGGTACTGCATTTGCTTTTTTCCTTTGAAAATGTCAAGTTCATGTTTCTTCTACTGTGTCCCTTCCTCTAGACATTTTTCCCAGCCCCTTTTCTCTTGTGCATCAAGGATGCCTCCTCACTGACCTGTGTCTTAGTACCAAGTCTACCACACAATCACGCAGGGTACTTGACCACTCAGAACCTCTTTTTCTCTTTAAAAATAGGGTTATATTTCACTTATCATTAAAGGTTGCACTACTACTACAAACATAAGATAATAATGTTAATTTGATAAATATCCACCAGTGAGGCAGGTGGAATCATTAGACCCCGCCAGGGCTGCATGGAACCCCTCCTTGAGTTGCTCTCCCTGTTAGGTCTGTATTTACTTGAGCTTTGTGCTCAAGGGACACAGTGTCATAGTGTCTCAAGTGACATACTTAAGTGTCATAGTGCCAAGGATTTCACCTTTATCACTTCATTAATTTGTATACAACACTTAGATAGAGGAGCTATTAATGCTCCTGCACAATTGATACCCCAGACAGAGCTGGGAACTGAGTGAGATCACTGGTTGTCACCCAGTAATTCTTAGAGGCAAAGTTATGGGCACACAAGATTTATACTTCTGAAACACTGACACCAGTTCCTGGATGGCACTTCTAAGCATTTTCACCCTGGATGTGCCTACTTAGACTTCCACCAAGAACCTGCACCTGCCTATTTCTTCGTATCCTCATCAGCAGTGGATATTTCTGTGTTTTAGTTTTATCACCCTCCTAGTGCAAAGGCTTTGCTGGGAGTAGCACTTCTGAAATCACTTGACTATTCAAACCTTTTTCTACCCTTACTGGCAATTCTCATTTTATCTTTAGTCAGTCACTCCATAGCACCTTGAGTATACCTTTGAGTAATGCAGTCACACCAGGTCTGCCTCCTTTAGCTCTGCCCTCTCTTAACTTCAATCTTACATTTGCTAAACAGAGAACTGTGACTCACCTAGGGTCACAGTTATGAAACAGTGGATCAGGACATGGTCTCCCATCACTGACCCTACAGTTGCTTTCATAGGCTCAGTAAAGGTATTCAGGTCCAGCAATGTTAAAAACAAAAGTAACAACAGCTTCTTATGGTTAATAAAAAATATTAACTGGCAGGCTGGGGAGGTAGCTCAGTGGTCTAGGCTCCTGCCTGGCAAGTACAAGGCCCTGTGTTCAATCCCCAGTACCAAGAGGACAACAGTCATGACAACATTAGTTATAATCCTAAAGGACTAGAAAATCCAAATCAGAAGGTGAGTGGGATGCATGGAATTAAATGCCATTAAACACTGCCAGTCAAGAAAGAATAGGTTAGATCTATGTTTCCTGAAATGGAATAACCTCCAAGTTATCATTATCAAGTGAGGCCAATTTAATACCTACATTATAAGTCCACATACATGAAGAACACTTGGAAACATACAACAGACATTTAACTGGGCAGTTTGGAGCAAGAGAGATTTCCTTTTCACTGTAGTTCCTTTCACAATGTTTGATGAAGTAGTTTTTGATTCAGAATATGGACCAACTATATTACAAATGAAAACTTCAAATGCTACGCAGGGACACAAAGAAGCTCTCCAGGGCGATAGTACCTGAAAGGTAGGAGTTGAGTTGCTTAGGTGCACAATTTGTCAGAGCCCATCACACAGGGCACTCGGGATATGTGCATCTCATTACAGTATCCTTGTGGGTACCAGAGTCCTCACACATTCAAATGCATGAGATAAAATGGTGTAGCATTTTCACAGAATGTACATCTTCCTGTATATTTTGAATCATCTCTGGATTACTTATAATCCCCAACATAATATAAATATTATGTAAATAGTTATTGTATTGTTTGGGCAACAGTGATAAGAAAAATGTCTGCACATGTCCAGTGTACACATTTTTTTCACATACTGTTTTCAATGTACAGTTGGTTGAATCCAAGTATGTAGAATCATAGATACTGAGGACTAGTTGTATATGCAAATATCACTTCAAGAGAAAAAACCTAAACAAATATTGAATTTCATTCAGTAATACCTGAAATTTATCTTGAGATGCAACCAAAAGCAGATGAATCGGTGGGTGGAAAGAGGGACCAGTAGATAAATATGTGCTAAAGTGAGCCTAATAGCACATTAATTATAGAATTTTGATGGTGCTTACTACATATTTATTGTGTTTGAAATTGATCGTAATAAGGTCTTTGGAAAAGTCAGTCTTAAGTTGTATGTTCTCTTGCTTAGATGTATATAAAAATGTAGGTATTTACATAAATATAATAGGGGATTTATAAAAAGTTAAATTAGTATGTTACAGTGCTGTGATCATGTTCTTCAAAAATTATATATAATACCACACTGTTTTATAATAAAGTATGATTAGGAAGGAAATCCATGTTAATAAACTAAAATAGTGACTTACATTGTGACTCCCAAGGCAAAGAGCTTCTCGTACTCTGTCCTGGAGGAATAGTTGGGAATGACCTGAGAAACAGGGAGAGAACAGACGGGAGGGGCCCAGGCTCAGAGCCATAGGACACTGCCTCTGAGCAGTTTCAGGGTCACTCGGCTCTCTTCCCTGCCCCCAGCACCCCCTTTCTTCTGGCCCAAGGCTTGGGCAGGTACAGTGCCTACTACTTCTGACCCACCATCCCGTTGGTGATGACCAGTCTTGGGGCGCCAGGGCTGCTGGGGAAGAGGCCCAGCGGATGTCCACTGTACATGACCAGAGTCTGATCTTCAGTCATCTTTGACAAGTAGTACATGGTCAGCCAGAACTGAAGGGCAGCAAACATACAAGATTTTGTAAACATAAACCACCCCACAGCTTCTACACCATGCCCAGGACCAGACGCCTGCAGGCCCGGGGTGGCCCTGTCCTTCCAGGTCCCCAGCATACTCCACTGACTCTTGGGTCTTTCAGTAAGATTGCCCTCATCCATTCTTATAATGGCAACATCCCCAAATAAGCCCCAGTGGTAGAGTCTTGGGCACATAGGAAGCAGAACCCTAGATTTGTCAGTTTCTCCTAGGGAGATAGGTGTGAGGCCACACATCCACTATACCTGAGCCCAGTTGCTGAACACCTGTCCATTTCCGCCATATGTCACCAGCTCCTGGGGAAACTGGAAAAGACATGGAATCATCTGAAAAGAGGTCTTAGGAGTGGCTTTGGGGCTGTAAACAGTGAGGGGAGCAGGGAAAGGAAGGACCCCGAATCCCTTGGTTGGGTACAATGGGAGAAGAAGAAGGAGAAGCAAGCAGCATGAGGCTCAGTGACAGCTGCACCTGCAAGAACATTGTTGCCTCTGTGACTGGATAAGGGCTCTTCATGAGATTAGGGTTAGAGGTGGGCTTGGGGTCATTTTGGCACCTCTGCCTGATGTTAATATCAAGGTCAGTTTGACCAGAGTCTCAGGCCAGGACCTGTTCTCACTTGCTAGACCAGTTAAATGTTAGCAACAATTGCCTTTAAGGAAGTATGTGGACTGACTCTTGGAGGCTATCTTTCTTCAAATATGGGTAATATACAGACTGGCCGTCACAGCAGGCTCAGGTCAGGCATGTTGTATGTGGCCAGACTACACTGTCTAATATGGCAACCACCAGCCATGTGTGGCAACTAGCACTGCTCTGCTCTGCTTTAGAAATACATGATTTCACATACTCAGTGTGAAAAATGTATAAAATAGCTCCTTAATAGTTTTATATTTATTATATGGTAAAATACATGTTAGGGTAAATATCATATAAAATCTGTTTCTTATCTTTCCACATAATGATGAGAACACTTGGCTAGGTATGTAGCTCAGTGGCAGAGTATTGTCTTACATGTGTGAGGCTTGGAGATCTGTCTCCAACAAATGAACAAAACCAAAGAAAAAAAAGAAAATTTAAAATTACAGGTATAGCTATCATGTTGATGTTGATATTCTGGTTCTGATGTTATCTCAGAGTTACAGAAGGAGTAACCATGAAAGAGAAGCCAGGATAAGGATATGGGGGCCTTTGTATTGGTTTTATAACACTGGTGAATCTAAAAGTAAGTCAAGAGCTTGAAAGCATTACATGTGTGTCTCGTGTCACATTTGTATTGCATAGTGCTGGGTCTCAGTTTCCCCAGCCATTACCTGAGCTACTGCGTGGTCCAGATTGTTCATGATCATGTGCATGATGGCTGCAGCAGCTCTTGTCCGGCAAGGGTACTGATCGATTGGGTAGGCCCTGCAAGGGGAAGTCTGGGCATGACAGTGGGCAGCTGCCAGGCTTTCCTTCCTGCTAAAGGGCAGAACCCACCTTGCCATATCATCTGGCCACACAGGTACGGACAGTGAGACCTGATACCTGCAGCACTTGCTAGGAGCCTCAGCACATCTGTCTGTACTAACTGCATACTAAGGTCCATCCCTCTGGTGCTCAGGTAGTGTGAGCTCTCACATGGCCAGGAACAGGGAACTCGGGGCCATGCTACCCAGATTACTTTCTCTCATCACTCTGAAGATGACAGGCCCCCAGCCCCTCCCACCATCCTCTCCCTGATTGAGGGGATGACTCACTATGACACCTCCAGGTGGGCCCTGTTTCTGACAGATGAGACTCCCTGCATTTCATGATCTGTAGCACAGCCCTCTGTAACTCATGACTGACAGTGCTCACTTCATTTCAATGCTGGGACAGAACCGGTACATGTAGATGTGTCCATAGAGTCGCAGCTCCTGGGCAAACTCCTGGGCCAGCAGTTCCTGGACATCAGGTGGGAAGTAGCGTAGGGCATTCCTCAGTGCCAACTGGGGAGGAAAGAAGGGAGGGTGCGCTAGGCAGCTGAACAGGGGTGTCCAGGCCTGGATTCCCTTATGCTGTACTATCTTCCCTCCTCACTTGGATTTTCCTCTGCTCCACTTAGACATGTGTTGATCCACTCTAGGACCACTTTGTTCACACTCCAGGCCCATTTGCACTCTCACCTGCTACAGGAGGCCTTCCTTGATTGTGCCCCATGCCCTTCAGGAAAGTGGACTTAGCCCCTTCTTCTTTTTGCTCACTGTGGACCAGCCCCAGGGATTAGGCTGTTGGGAGTGAGACTGAGGCAAGGCCAGAGAGGGGTCTGGGGTTTGTGGCTTTGAGAGCAGGGAGGATGTTGCCTCAGGAGAAGAGCTGACACTTCATGCAAGTACAGAAGCAACCTCATGACCAAATAAGTAAGGAGTTTGGAGGCTGCATTCTCAGCTAGGTAGCTTTGGGCAATGCACAATGTACATGCATAGCTCCTAGTGGATGTGTCCAACTTGGCCTGACTCTCCCAGCCCCCAGCATGCTTGCCTGCTGAAGCACTGTTCTCTGCAAGGAACTCAGCTCAGCACTGAGGCTGACACAGGAAAGGAGATCAGGTAGGATAAGCAATTTTGCAGGCCCTGGAGACATCTGGAGACACACCCAAAATTTACAATGACTCTTGGAACAGCTCAGCCCACTGAGATGCAGGACTGGCAAAAGCTTTAACCACAGATGTTCCTTGGGATCTTCCCACTTAATGTCCCCTGCCTTCTCTCCATGCCTATGAAAGGGAAACATTTCTCTTTGTTTGGGGCAGGTCTTATAGCTCTCTGTTTCTCTGAATCCAGGCACAACAAATTCCATGCCATGTGCCTTTCCACAAGCCTGGTGGTCTCTGTTCCTTATTTATCTTACACTAGGAGACATGGACAGAACCTGGGGCTGGGGATAGGAGGTCGAGAGAAAGGAGAGCCCCCCTGAAGAGCTTTTGCTGAACCAGGGAAAGTAGCTCAAACCTCCTTTCTGACCAGTCACTCTTCTCCCTCAGGCCCCTCGTGCTCCAGGTTCTACCTTCTGGCCTTGGCACTGATGCTTCCAACCGAAAGCTCCCTCTGTGGGCCTAACTTCTTAGGAGATCAGATCTGACTTGAAGTCCCCTTCCACAGTGCTGGGGATAGAATTCCCCTTCCACAGTGCTGGGGATAGAATTCCACAACTTATGCACACAAGGCAACCACTCCTCGACCAAGCCATATGCACAGCCCCAACTTTAGCTTCACCTTTTAGACTCCTGGCCTCCATCTTTCTGCCTTTGGTTCTTTTCAGAACTTTTCACTATGGGTCCTGTAATCTCTCTGTTTCTTTCTTATGCCTCATATGATTCAGGAGGCTCTGAGGCCCAGTGGTCCACGTCAGTTTGCAGCATGGGTTGGAGCAGGTGAGGTAGGGTGGGAATCTGGGAGATGCCTAGGTCTCTGGACGAACATTGCAGCCACTTATTCATTGAGCTAACTGTGGCTAGTCAGCTGCTCTGGGGTGAGGGAAAGAAGGAGCTAGGTGTGGTGTATTTGTTCACTCACTCAACAATTAAAGGAGGGCTGCTGTGAGGCTGGCTGATTCATATGGGCTGGAGACAGCAGGCAGGAGAGACAAGCGCTCAGAACTGTGCACTGGGAACACTAGCATTTGGTAAAGACACTCATTAAAAGAAAAGAAAAGGGAAGCAAGCCAGGGTGCAGGGATGGCTGTCAATAAGGTGGTCACTGGATTGAAAAAGCGGCTCCTCCCACAGCTCTACTCCTCAGAGACACAAGTCACCTACTCCTACTCCGAGGAATCCCTACCCTTCAAGCAAAAGGCAGCACACTTAAGCAAAGCTCAGGTGGCAGCTTCTCAGGTCCTGGTGTTCTGCCACCACCAGCGCACTACAGGCTGGTCACCATCATGCAGACACACTGGTGTCACCTGAGGGACAGACAGCAGCCCTGTGTGTGTGTGTGTGGTCTGGTGACTAAAGGCAGGCATCCAGCATGGAGGTGATCAAGGAGGAGGAAACTTAACCCCTACCTCAACATCTGTTGAGCTGAGCCAGGTATGGAGAAAGAAGGGGAAGGGCACCCCCCACCCCCTCTCCTCTAGACCCTCCCTACCTGTCCAACACCCTCCAAGTACTTTCCCCCAGTGCTTCCTCCTGTTATCTGCCCTAGCCCTTCCCTGCCACTTCATAGCCCCATGCACCCCTCCCCCCAACCAAACAGGCCCTTCCTCCTTTTTGGGTAGTCTTCAGGGGAAACTCTAGGCCACTTCCACGCAAAAAGAATAATCTTTCTCTGCGGGTAGTGGAGTTGCTTTGTGTGTTAATGGGACTTGATCCCAGGACCTTGGCACTGAGCTACATCCCTAACTTTTTTTGTTATTGTTGTTAAATCTTGAGACAGGGGCTTTTTTTTTTTAATTATAATTTTCTTTTATTTTAAAGAGTGAAAACAAGGTCGTGATGGCGGCGGCGACGGTGGCGCGCTGAGCGGACTGGGCCGGATGGAAGAAGTAGAGCTTGAAGTGTTTCTGGTTCCTGTGTTATTTCGAGGATCCACCGCCGCCGCAGCCACTGAAGCCGCGATGCCTAAAGGGAGAAAAGGAGGCCACAAAGGCCGAGCAAGGCAATATACGAGCCCTGAGGAGATTGATGCCCAGCTGCAGGCTGAAAAGCAGAAAACCAGGGAAGAAGAGGAACAAGTAGAAGGTGGAGATGGGGCTGCAGGTGACCCCAAAAAGGAGAAGAAATCTCTAGACTCTGGGGAGAGTGAGGATGAGGATGAAGACTACCAGCAATAACGCAAAGGTGTGGAAGGGCTCATTGACATCGAAAACCCCAACCGGGTGGCACAGACAACCAAAAAGATTACACAACTGGATCTTGATGGGCCAAAAGAGCTGTCAAGGAGAGAACGAGAAGAAATCGAGAAGCAGAAGGCAAAAGAACGCTACATGAAAATGCATTTAGCTGGTAAGACAGAACAAGCCAAGGCTGACCTTGCCCGGATGGCAGTCATCCGGAAACAACAACGGGAAGAGGCCGTGAGGAAGAAGGAAGAGGAGAGGAAAGCAAAAGATGACGCAACTTTGTCGGGAAAACGGATGCAGTCACTTTCCCTGAATAAGTAAGCGTTGCCTATGGGAAGAGAGGCCAGGGAACCGGGCCGCGCTGCCAGGACCGCTGCTGCGTCTCGTCCACCTTGTGCCCTGGCACCGCTGCAGCAGCCCCTCATGGCCAGAAACCCCCACGGCCTGGTGCCGCCTCTTCATCTTGGCACAGAAATTGTTCGAGGGTATGGGGGGCTGGGGGAGGGGGCAGCTGCTATCTTTTGAGACAAAAAGATGCAGGACAGCATTTCATATGTAACCATTTGAATGTTTTTGCTGGTTTTAGAATTCAGAACCTGGTTGGGGGGTGCCTGGGAGGTGGGTCAGAAGAGCTTCCATTTGTTTGGTAAATCGCACGTTAATGGATGGCAGTGCCGGTGGCACCTGCTGGCACGTGCAGCCACCAGCCCCAGTCTGTGCTGCCTGGGTGCTTACTCGGAGAAGGGTTGTGCCTTGGGTCCCATGGCTTCTCTGTCCCTGGCCAGTGGCCTCCAACTGGGCCCTTTTCTCTGCCCTTCCCTGCCCTGTTCTCACATATTTGTCCAGGGCTACTACCCATTTTTAACCCAACCCATCGATCATTTCAAGAAACCTCCGTTGACTGTGCAGCACCCAGGCAAAACCTGCTCCACAAATCCAACTTGTGTATTTGGCAGATTAAACTTGACATTATCGAAAAAAAAAAAAAAAAGTAAAAACAAGAACAAGAAAAACAAAAGCAAAGACAGAAACAGGGTAACATGTAACAAAACATACATAACAGATTTTCAAAACAAGAATAGCTTATTAACAGTGATTGATATATTTTCTATTTTTATCATTAAATCTGTTGCTCAGATTAACAGATATAGTTATGCAAGATGGGACATATGATTGAATATTACCACATGCTTTCAAGAAATCTTAAATTTTTGTTCTTGATTCTCATTTTATTTTACTACCTTAAAAAAAATTACTTTAAAGAGTATAGTAATAATTGATAGGACATTAGAAACAGTACACATTTAGAAGACCAAGATGACAGGTATTTCAAGTATGGTTTTAGTATTACACATAGCTGCCCTCAATGTAGTTGCTGAGTTCACAGATATCAACATGGAGAGTTAGTCAGGGTGAGAATTCTACCCATTAACTGCTATTTTCAAAAACTTGACAGAAATTCTTAGGATTATTGCTTTATCCAACTTGTATACATGTATGGTTTTGCCCCTACCTTGTTTCCTAATTTTTCTTCTTTCTCTCTCTTTGTTTTTTTCCCCATAATTTTATTGAGAAACAAATAGCAGTGAGACAGTTTCAAACCAAATTGGTAGGACAGTTTCAATAATTAACACATTGCATACATTCTTCCTAGGAGACAGGGGCTTTTTAAGTCCCTGAGTTGCCCAGGAGGAACTTGAATTTACAATCCTCCAGCCTCAACCTCCCAGAGTACTGCGGTTCCAGCTATGTGCCACCATGACCAAGATTTATCTTTTTAAAAAATTTAATTTAATTTAAATTTTAATTTTTTTTTTTTTTTTGTATTTTAGGGAAGGGTCTTCAGGGTGTTCAGGGTCTTACTACTAGATTGGACTCATAGTGATCCACCTGTTTACAGCCTCCCAAGAGCTGGGATTAGAGCCACGCGCCACCATGCCCAGTCTCAATTGCCATCTCAGCATGCCCCAGGGGCAGGGCCAGCATGGCAGGCCCGGGGATAGAACCCCCCACCCCTGTGCCTGGAATTCATTTTTAAACTTTGTCTTTATTGGTATTTTCTACTTTCCTCCCACTGTTTTTGAAATTCTTCTTAAAGAAAAAGTAGGTAGAAAACTCTTACACAGTTGTTTCACCTTCATTATTTCATTTGTTCTTCTGCACAACTCTGTCTTTAAAATTTTTCATCCCTAGTTTACAAATGAGAAAAGCCAGCCTCCTAGAGCATCAGCGACAGGGCCGGACAGCCTGGGGACTGCTGGTGTGTGCACCCATTCACCTGGGTCTGTGTCCTGTCAGTGAAATGGGAGTGACCAAATGGGGGCCTGCCTGGCCTGCAGTTCTCCGCAGCACCCATCTTGCTCTCGGGGTGACATCTGCATGGACATCCGCTCCAAGATGGGGAAGGGACATTCACAAATGGGAACAAGGAGCTTGTCTATTGGCAGCAGAAGACAACAGACACATCAGGCAGTGTTTGGCCTGGGCAAGGTACACATTCCATGCTGGGATTGGCCCACTTCACACCCTCCTGGTTCCTCCTCCCGTCAGAGGTGGCCACACCACCATCACTTACTGTCTCGGTGACCTTGAGCCTCAGGGTCCCTTCACTTGTAAATGGGGACTGTAATTCTGAATCTTAGGATGGCCATGCCTAAGAAATATCAGGTGTGGCACAGTGTGGCACATATTTCTCCTTCCCCTATGGCTTTTGGAGGCCAAGGCGGGCAGTTGAGGGCAAGAAGTAGGGGGTGCCTTCCTGGACTACCTGGCAGGCACCTAGAAGACACTAGGCCCCAGGAGGCATGAGTGGGACTTCTTACCTGCTCCTCTAGAGGGCTGAGGCCAGGGGTCCTGACGGGGGCATGTGGCACCCCAGCCCAGCGTCCGGGGTTCTGTGGGAGGGGTCTCAAGGGCAGGCCGGAGCACAGCATCTGGAGACTGGACATATCTGCTGAGTCTAGGTGGAGACCAGCACTGTGGGGAGGCTGGGAGGACACGGAACAATCAAGAGTCAGCAGGAGGGGGGCCTCTAGCCCCAGGGTCACCTCCTCCAGCCCCTCATTGGGTCCAGCACCTGTGGAAGGAGCCACGTGTGGGTCACAGGGGCAGGTCCTTGGGTCACTGGCTGATAGGAGTGTTGATTTAGGGGGAGGAGCAGGCTTCCTGGTAGGGAGACCTGAGATAGATGGGGGTCTGCTCATGCTTCAAATGGGGTGACCTGGAGGGGATTATATTTAGGATATGCTCTGAGGAGCTGGAGGGGCTTTGGTATCGTGGCTTGCTCTGGCAGTTTTATGGGATTACACCAAGGTGGCAATATTGGAACTTGTGTCCTGATAACATGGAACCACGTGACATGGAACTTGGCACAGGCTCTGCAGAAACCAGAGTCTCCTGTGCATCCCTTCCTTGGCCCCTGAGAGGGCCGCTGCCTGGGTGGCAGCTGTGATAGGACTCCCCGCACAAACTTGTATGCCCTCCTTGGTTCCCAGGGAGCTTTAGGGTGCTGCACTTCCAAAACTCTTTGTGATGTACTGCCTGAGGGATGGACCTCATCCTCCAATCCATGAACAATTCTGCAAGAAAGTAGTCCTCACTAGCCCTACGCTACAGAGAGGGAAACTGAGGCCCAGGTCGCCCTCATACAGCCAGGCAATGGCCACAGTTGAATCAGAACACTTCTGGAAAGTAACACCTGGGTGGGAATCCAGCTGTGTTCCTGATTAACTTTGTGACCTCTGGCCCCTCTCCAATCTACGTAAGTGGACAGTAACCAAATGCTCAGGAGAGGGTGGGTCTGAGCAGGGAGCTGACAGTTTCTACCTTTGAGGCTGTGCTTCTCTGAGCATATCACATGACAAGGCAGTTCACTTCTCTGTCACACCTACCCTGAGAGGTGCTCTGTCCCATTTCATGAATGAGGAAACTGAGGTCAAGGGGGTCAATGGGGTGAAGCTTGGCTCAAGCTGTTTTGGAACCCAGAAGTCTGAGTCTAGCCACCCTCTGGGCTGCTTCTGTGCTCTCAGGATACAATGAGGGGATGTTGTGACATCCTTTATATATTGTAAAGGGTTAACAGAATTTTGTGCCTTAACTGTGGGAAATTATTAAAAGAGCCTTGTGCTTCCTGTTATCTACGCTAAGAAATGTATTCTCCCTCTTGGCTCAAGGCTGTTTAACAATAAATAACTTTCTTGTCAAGGCAGCAAAGCTGAAACAAACTCCCTCCCTAACCATCTCCTATAATGTGGTCAGCTTAAGATGCATCTTATAAAAATATGTATTTATCACTAAGCTGTGAAAGACCCTTTAGTTACAAACTGTTTGCAGCTGTGTCAAATGAATGTAGTTTTCTGTTGTTCTCTGCTAGATAACAAATTTGCTTACCAAACTGAATGTGATTTCTGTTATAAATACCCCCCCTGCTACCTACGTTTGGGTGCCGATCAGTCTTCTCTTGCGTGAGAAATGGCTGATGGACCTGAGCTCAGTAAATAAAAGGCTCTGTTCAAATTTCTATCTGGCTCCTATCTAGAATATATATCTATATATCTATATCTATATATCTATATATCTATATATCTATATATCTATATATCTATATATATATATATCTCCAGTTCCTAAGACCCTTGTATATAGGAACATTTGTTCTTTGCCCTAGAGTTCTTGACACTGAGTTAGTAAGTCTCTTGGAACTTCCTGGGTGTTGGAGCAAATTGCCAAGGTGAAACGACTCCTGGTGGGCTTCCCAAGGCTCTTGGTTGCCAAGAAACTCCACTTCCAACCCTGACAGAGAAGGGTGAGTGCTGAAGGTTGAGTTCATCATTAATGGCCAAGGATATAATCAGCCATGCCAATGAATGCAGCTTCCATAAAAATCCAAAGGACCAGGTTTAGACAGCTTTTGGCTGGCTGAATATCTGGAGGTTCCTGAGGGGTGGCATGTCTCAGGTGGACTTCTCACCCCTTTTCCAGACCACATCTGTGCATCTCCTCCATGAGGCTGTCCATCTGTATCCCTGGTGATGTCCTTTATAATGAGTCTGTAAATACAAGTCAAGTATTTCCCTGAGTCTGAAGTCATTATTTAGCGAATAAATCAAACCTGAGGAGGGAGTCATGGAAGCTCCAATTTATAGCCAGTAGTTTGGAAGCACAGGCCACAATCTGTGCTTGCAATTATCATCTCAAGTAGAAGGCCCTCCTGTGGGAATGAGCCTTCAATGGTGGGATCCAATTCAGTCTCCAAATGGAGTCAGAATTGAGTTGAATTTGAAGACACCCTACTCTGGTGTCTGCTGAAAAATTGGTTGTTTATGGACTGAAAACTCCACATATGATCTAATGAGCAGCACATGATGCATGTGAATGCGAAGGAAACTCTCTCTCCCTTCCTCATCACCTACAGGGATGCTGCCTTGCGGGATGGGTCAGCAGAAGCCACTCAGGCCTGCCTTCTGCCATTTCCTCTGTTTGTTCCATCTCTTCAGCATACTTGAATGAGCACCTCCTTGTGTCAGGCACTCATTCAGCCCTGGGTAATAGAATGAATGAGACATGAGTCCTTGTTGTACCCTCTGTGCCAGAGCACTACACATAGCATGGGCCCAAGTAGCCAGCACCAGTGTCTGTCTGTCCATGGGCTTCTGGTACCCTCAAGCTGCCTCTTTCTGCGCAGAGTGCAGGAGGAGAGGGCTGGGAAATTGGCAGCCCCGTTCCTTCTGCCCAAGTAATGACTGTGAGGCACACCCCTGGCCCCCAAGTTCCAGCAGGCCTGCCCACCAGGGTGGGGTCATGCCTTGGCAGTTGCTTTCCCTTCTGACTTACTTCCTGATCCCCTTGACAGGCATATCTTCACTAAGCTCTCTGTGCCAAGCCCTGGTCTTAGGGTTTGTTTCTGCAGAAGACCTCATCAACTGATGGCTCAGGAAAAGTCAGAAGTCCTAATAGTTTTGGGGAAATGTCCTGATTTTTTTTCTTTTATTTTTTTCTTTTCTTTTTTCTCTTTATTTATTTACAAAATCTCAAAACAAGATTTTAGGAGAGTAACAATGGTTAGTA